TTGAAGATTTATTTATTTATTTTTAATGACAGATGTCAATTCTATTATCCCAGCAGTGGTTCATGCTAAAACTGCTCCACCTTGTCTCTCTTTCCTATACTATCCTATAATCAGGAAAACTAGGACATTAGTGTGAATTTAAATATACATAGTACGAATTTAGGCCCAGAGGTGTTGAGTAAAATAGAATTGCAATTGCAATGGATTTTTAGTTGCAGCTGATAAACACTCTGCGTAATGACTTTGAGACAGTTCAGCAGAGCTGAACTATCAGGATGTCCTGTGCTCTAGCACTTAATGTTTTCTTGTGCATTTTGTTTTATTATAACTGTCACTGCTGACACTGCCTATTTAAGGCAAGAGGAATCATTCCATTCTAGGGAAGATGGGAGGGAAGGTATATAGTTTTACCATTTATTGTTTGTCTTGTACAATACGAAAGATGCTATATAAGTGTAAAATTGGATGGAGACAACATTTTCTTTGTCTTCTGAAACTACTCTGTCTTATTTACCTTAAGTATTTTATCTTACTCTCTATAATTGTTATGATTTTTTTTTCTTTTTTCACTAACAGAGTCTTCAGGATCTGACAAATTTTGTTATGAAAAGCTTAATACAGAAGGTACCAAAAAAGGAAACTGTGGAAAGGATGGAGACCGATGGATTCAATGTAGCAAACAGTAAGTACAGCTTGGTAGAGATTATTTGTATTTTAAATGGATTAATATTGGTTTAATATTGTCTACTTTTTCATTAATTTTTCAGCAGTTTGCTTTGCATTATTTTGAATCAACTTTTCTTCACAAGGTTTGCCTCTTGAAAATGTTTCTTTCTGACAAATCCATGCAATACACTCATAAATAATTGCAGATTTTAGGGAAGAATGTACTGTGACCTTAATTCTTTCAGGGGAGCTGGGGGTTCAAAACATACAAACACCTCAGACTTGGTAGGGATAGACTAGGCTGCAAATACACACACTAGTTTTGCTTCCTCTGGGATTGATACCAGATTATGCTATTTCAAGTTTGTTCTAACCTTCATTGTGAACAGAGAGGACCGTTAGACATTTGGATGCTACAGAGAAAATGGCTGATTCATTTGTATGTGATCATTACTACATGGATATTTGATTAAATTTACTTTTCAAGTTAATAATCATTAGTGGACAGACTTACGTTTCTCCTGATTTACTTAACTGTTATGTAATTTTTAAGTATGCATGTAAAAATTTTAGTCTTAGAATGGTGTTTTCCTTCTGTGACTATTTGATGTTTGTTAAGTGGGTTGGGTTTTTTATATGATTCACTTTTCAGAGAGGATCATAAGGAGTTGTTTAATGGATTTTGGTTTTTTTATTATTTAGATGAGAAAAGTGTTGTGCTGATATGTATATTAAAAACCTAATCTGTATAAAGTCTTTCTTGGTCAACAGAGAGATGCAGAAAAATGGTCTAGGTAAAGGACCGTTTAAATTTTTTGCAATTTTAACAAATAAAATTTCCAGCATTCATCCAGCTGCTTCTGTGACTTAGGACAATTAGAGTAGGAGATGGAAGTTTTAAGCTGATATTCTTCTATTGAAGATGGCACATATAACATAACATATAAAATAAAGCAGATTCTTTTACCAAAATTCAGGCACACTTGCTGCATGCTAATGATTGTTACTATGGTTCTGTTGTCCTGCAAGTGAAATAAAATTCAATTAAAAATTCAAACTTTGATGTCCAGCATCCGGACTGCTAGAGAGAGGGAAATACAATTTAACTGGACATGACAAAGCTTTGTACAATTTGCTCCTCATCATTGTACTGTATTGCATTTAGAGCACAGATAAATTTTTTGTTCATGTGAACATTCACTGGTGCACTAGAATGAATGATTACTTGTTTCTGCTTCTTGTCATTTTTATGAAATAATATTTTATTTTCAGACTTGTATTTTGAAAGTCTGGTGTGTGGGTTATGATAATATATTACTTAATGTGATCAGCAGCATCATTGCCAGTCTTTCTTTTTTTGTAAGTTTACTTGATATTATTCCAGTAACTTTTGATTTATGTTTTCATTTTCCAGTGATGTTTTCTGTGGCTTTTTGCTCTGTACTAATCTTACTAGAGTTCCGCGAGTAGGGCAAGTTCAAGGTGAAATTATCCCGAATTCTTTTTATCATCAAGGACGAATAGTGGACTGCAGGTAAAAGATAATGCAATGTTCTAACATGATTGTGCTCTGTCAAACCGAATTGAATTAAGATGAACATAAACATAAAATGCTATGATTTTTAGGTAATTAATATCGTACAGCAAAATCATTATTCTGAGTGGTATTTCTTTTGATTAAAAAAAAAAAAGCCTAATATTCTAATATATAAAAAGGGCAAAATGTGGATTATCTTCCTGATTACTCTGAACTCTCCAGTAGCAAAACTTCACAGTCAGTTTAATGCTCAGCATTTTATTTTAGGGTGGGAAGTCTGTAATGGCCAAAGACCCATATATTAAATATAATGGTTTTGAGTATTATATCGTTAGAGAAATAGCTGTAGGGAAGTGAAGGCTGAGAGGAAGGACACTGAAGAGATGTGGCAGGATAAGATAAGTTACAGTTCAGTTAAAGGGCAGGTAAATGGATTTTAGTCTACTGTGCACAAGACTGCATTTGTATTTTAAAGGCATATTATGCTAAGAATACTCTCTTACATAGTTAAGTCCCGAGTGAATAATGATTCTTAACTCCTTTGTTATTCCACTAGTATTTTTATTTAAATGTCATCACATAGGAAGTTAGTTTTTTAACATTTTTCTACCAATGGTATTTCACAGCATTTGGGAGGGAGCTGGGGGAGGAAGAAAAAAGCATGGCCCATCAAAGGTGGTTAAAAAACCCAAGGTGCCCTTTTTAAGTATTTAAGTCATTATCTAGATTTCTTTTTAGTCTCACAACTGGAACACTTTGTCAATGCTGTGGACAGACAGAAAAACTTTCTAATTTTGTTCAGTCTGTCTGTATGGTTGAATGAGAGAAAGGTATGAGGCTTTTAGTATCTACACTGACATGTTTAATATTTTCAAAAGACTCCAGTCATAATACTGATAGTATCTTAAAACTTATTTCTCCTAGTGGTGCTCATGTTCTTTTAGATGATGATACAGATTTAGGTTATGTGGAGGATGGAGCTCCATGTGGACCTCAAATGATGTGTCTGGACAAAAAGTGCCTGCCAATTCAGTCCTTGAACATAAGCAGCTGTCCCATTGGTTCTAATGGAAAAGTCTGTTCTGGTCATGGGGTGAGTCTGTACTGGGAGGTGGCAGCTAAGCTTCTCCAGCTCTCTTTGCTCTGTCTGATCTTAATGTACCCTGTGGCGTTCTCTACCTGAAAGTGTTTCTAACACCTCGTGATCTGAAAACACAAATGTTGGATTCAGGGGAAGACTGCCGTTCTGTGAAGCATAGATAAAATTTTGGAAAGCAGAGTTGTCAAAGTAGTTCTGCAGTTATATACAAATTGTGTTTGTGGGTTTTTTTTGTTTTTCTTGCTAGTTAAAAAAAAAGATCTTTGACAGTGGTTATTGTAAAGACTTCTGTAATGTACTATGCATTTCAAGCTATTTGCCATATTCAGCTAAACTTTTTCTCCATATACTAACACTTTTATAAAGTTGGTCCTGTGTTCATGGATTTATACCTTATGACTTAATGAAAATTATAAATTGTTGGACCTCAACAGAGATGATGTATTCTTCCTGAACAGATGCAAAGTGTATCATTTTACATTTGGGCACATTATATTCTGTTCTTCTACTCATAAAATCCATTTGTCTGATGTTGGGCATGTTTAGATGAACAGATTAATTGTTCCATGTCTTAACTATAATACTGGTGAAACCTTTCCACTGTGGGATTTAGTAAACAAATACCTGCTTAAGGGGCTAGACTTTTCACAAGACATTTTTTTGAGTTTTTTCTTCTTGTCATATGTAATTGAAGATGCATTTCAGTGCTTCAGAGAAGAGAGTTAGGTTCAAAGTCAAGAAGAAAAAAAGTAAAATTCAAAAGTAAAGGATCTAGGAGATCTAGAAATCATCTTGGCACTTTTGGAGAGTGGCATGAGTGGTGAAAGAACTATGTTACCTTTTTCGTTTTACTTTGGATTATTCCAGTTCATAATATTCAAAGAATGCTTCAGTTGATCTAACCTGCCATAAGATGTATTCTTCTTCATCTTCCTAAATAAGATTCTTTGGTGAATACGTTAAGAAGCAAAGTGAAACAAAAGTTAAATTAAAAAAAAAATCACATATGCTACTTGTAATCCTTAATGTGTATGTTATTTTCTGTGGGTTTTTTCAACATTATGTTCCAGTGTCAAAAAGACATTATTAGCTGATGCCTAGTGACGTGACTTCACTTCTAGTCCCATAATCAAAACATCATTCTTTGTTTTCTGTCTCTTTCTCATGTTATGCTTTTTCCTTAGTAATTCCTAGCAACACACTGCATGTTCTTTTTCATATGGAAAGCTTATAGCTATTAACTCTCACTATTGATGTGATACTTTACATTTTGCCAGTTGGATAGGTTTTCCTGTATCTGACAAAGGTACTGCCAATTTTAGTGACTCCTAAGTCCTTTTTTGAGGTCATTCAACTAAATGTAGACTTAAGAACTATTTTCTCTCTTTCTATAAGATAAGCAAGAATTCCTAATTTCTTCTTAGAAAAAAAAATGCTGACAAAACCAATGAAAACCTTATTATTTTTTCTACATGGGAGCAAGCTGTAAATGAGAGGTTGTAAAGTATAATCAAGTCTTAACACTTTTAAATGCAACTGCTTGTATTCCTTCTGGATATTCAGGCTCAAAGTCTAGATGGTTGGTTAGTGAAGATCTAACTAGTCTAGATAGTTGGTTTTTTTTAAATTATAATTTCTCTTATTTTTTTACATCCTATGCAGGTGTGTAGTGCAAGTGATGATGAAACCACTGGGAACACTTCTGCTTTTCCTAGCATCTGAGTATATTTAGAGGGTTAAAGCAAACTTTCAGGTTATGGATGCATTATATTCATTCTAAACACTCAGTGCTATTGTTACTATATATAAATAGATAAGTTTTATACTGTGAATTAAATATCTAATTACATGTTAAGGATACTATAAAATGTAGTTAAAAAACAACTGCTGTCATTTATTTTCTTTTCCAGGTTTGTAGTAATGAAGCTACTTGCATTTGTAATTTCTCCTGGGCTGGGACAGACTGCAGTATTGATGATCCTGTCAGGGATACTGGTAGCAAGAAGGATGAAGGACCCAAGGGTTTGTGTGATTTCAGTTTTGTTGTTCTTTCAAGTATTTATGACATTTTTTCTGTTGATACGTGGTAGTAGAATTAGCATATAGAAAGAGAATAATATTGTACAGTCCTGTTTAGACCCAGACAGTAACATTCAGCTTCGTGTAGATGAAGTAGGTCTTTCTGCTTTGAGAATTGATGAAACTTTTATTTTTCTAACCTAAGGTTGGGCAAGATTTCAATAGCTAATGGTATGTACTTTCTGCTTTTTCCTTCATCTCTTATTCTCTATTTTTTTACAATCATTTTCTCTGTGATTGGAACCTGACTAAGTGTAGCTCTTATTATTTATATGATAATTGAGTATTTATGTTCTACAAGAGATTTGCATTTCCCTTAGTTGTTCTAATTCAGAGACCTATGGCATAAAAATGGAAAAGTGGAATGTGCCTGGTGAAAAAACGCTCTGGTTGCTTGAAATCAGATTTCAGGAGGAGGAAAAATAAATAAAGATTTTAAGGACATAAATTATTCTTATCATTATTATTTACTCTTATGTATTTAGTAGATAGTTCAACTGCATATGAAGTATAAATGCAAAGAGGAAATAATAAAAAAAGTTTTTCAAGGAGGAAGAAAAACACAGGAGATTCTCTCTGACTTCTCTGCCAAAGAATGTCTTTGGATTGTGCTGTCCAATTTTTTTGTCTTTCCTGTCATCAGGACATTGTCCAAGATGAGACTGTATTTGTCCAGTGTTATGCATTTACAGCTAAAGTTCCCAATGAACAACTGAGAAACTCAAACAAATCTCTTCTACTATGTCCCAGTTCCAGGTTCTTCTGTCCCTAATACAAGGCTGATGGGAAGAAGATAAAGCTGTTTGAAAATGTAGTCCTTAGAACTCAGACTAATTGATTACTCTTTAAAATATCCAAGGTTTCAAGGGAGGACAGAATTTTGGTATGTCCCTCCAGATTGGGGCTACTTCTGCCTTCTGTGCATTATTTGTTTGCCTCTTAGCAGAATGGTTCCAGTAGATCTTTACCAATAACTGTTGAAGAGATTGTCTTAACCAAGATTTGTATTAGGGAATCTGTGCAGGTGCTTCCTGGACTCCTAACCCCACCACTGTTCAGTGTAGAGCTGCCTGGTTTGTAACCTGCTGTACAAAGCTACTTGTCATTCCCTTTTCCATAAAAGCCTTCCTAATTGTGGAATGCTGCTTACGGAGTCTTAAAAAAAAGTAGTGGAGAACAGCACTATAGAGCTGATTACTACTTTTTGTGTGTGGATAAGGAGAGCAGTATTTACAGTACTGAGAGTACCTGAATTTTATATTCCTCATTTCCAAATCCTGTGGGTAAGAAAGAATTCCATCCTCTGTGAAAAACTCTATAGGAAAGGCAACACAGAAGGTATACTTATCTTGGTTATATCTTTGTAGTTCAGATTAACTCATCTAATTCAGAATGGAAATGCCTTTATAAAAATTAATATATCAATGCTGCAGTATTCTGGGAAAATGTCTTAAATGGATAGAATGTGCATGGATGTCTGTCAGTAGGTAGAGACACAAAGTTTAGACAGCATTTTTCATTGGAGTCCTCTGTAAAAAGGCTGACTATGTTTTTGTACAGGATGGCTCAAAGATGTCAAAAGATGCATTGTTTTTTCTTATATTGTTACAGTAGTTTATTGATGTTGAATCACCTAGAAATGAATTTAGGAACCTGAAGACTGACAGCTACTATTATCTGTTTTGATGTGCTTAACAGAGGAATACCTTTGTGAGACAATATCAGAGGTAGTTTTCTGTATTATAAAGATCCAACATACTCAGGTAGTTCCCATTAAGATTTTTCCTCTCATTACCAGTACTTCCTATATCATATGCCAGTTTATACCTGTTTTTCCTTAGCCCATAATTTGGGGGTTGTTACATTTCAGAAAGAGGACACTCAGGATGTGAAAGCTCACCTAATAGATTTAAGATTTTTCATACCCTAAAGCCAAGCATTCTTCTTAATACAATTAGAGCATGTACAGCTAGGACATATTCCTGTTTATTTCTATGTTGTTATGATAATTGACAATTAACTGGCACTTCTGCTGCACTTTTCTTTTCAGGCCTTTTCATCATCCATCAATTGCTTTTGGCTCCATACTGTATTTCAGGATTTATAAAATTAGTTATACTTTAATTTTGTTGGTATTGATACATGAGTCTTGAATTACTCTAAACTTGGCAACCTACGGTATTCTGTATTAGCAGACCTACACTGCATGCTAGCAGTTTTGGGAAGACGGAGTTCTTGCTGTTAGTTTTTTGACTACTGCAGAAACTCTGAATTACTTCAGAGTGTCAGCTATAGTAGTTTTGAAATCAGTAGGAGTCTACATGCACACAAGATTCTTCCTTTGCAATTTGATTAGCAGAATTAGGCCTTTGACTTCTGGAATAGTGTCTGTTTGGTTTTTTTAATATAAAACTTATGTCTCGTGTGTGTGTTTGTGTGTGTATATTTATGAAACAGGAAAAACTGGAACCAATTCGAAACAGACTTCGTTCAGCATGAAGACTATAAAGTTTTTGTCTCTTGGAAAAGTTCTCATTAGACAGGGAGTTCAGCTGCTTGCTTGTGGTCTCTTATGACTTAATGAACCTATCAAGCTTTTAATCTTTAACACAGGAAATGTATCAGTGTTTTTTCTCAAAAGAGTTCCTTTAAAAAATGAAAAATAAGGCCTCAGTGTCTTAAGAGAGACTATTTGAAGATATTGAAATTTCCATGGTGTTATCTGAAGCACACTGCTAGGGTAGGTTTTTTCCTTTTAAAAGGTGTTGTCTCTCAGTAGGTCATATAAATAAATACAGAGTCCTACTGATAAATGCAGTAACCAAAAAAAATACTACCAACTAATGAAGAAAAGAATTAAAAAGTTGTGGGGTTTTTGTTTGTTTTGTTTTTCTTCTTTCCTGCAATGGAACTGTTTCCAAACAAACAGTTTTCATTTCATTATATTAAGGATACAGTAAGTTTCTGATGATCAAAAGGAAGTTTTCTTATTGGCGATTTATTTTCATTTTGACTGTTTTAAATAAGCAGTAGGTTGAGGATGTTTACTTTTTAAGTAACTAATAGAATCATAGGATAAAAAGAATAGTCTTACATTTACAAGGAAATGTCTCACTGAAATAGTTGCAAGCATTCAAAGAAAACCAGTATAGTTAATATCAGAACAGTACTTGGTAAATAAAGGTTTGTTAGAAGGTTTGAATTGTGTATCTGACAATAGATTGCAGCATAAAATATTCCTTTGAGGAATGACTTCATGTTTTCATTTCAGACATATATGTGATTGTTGCCTTAAAAAATCTTCCCTTTTCCCTCCACACAGTGAGCATGGCCACTAACAGGCTAATAGGTGCAGTGGCAGGGACCATTCTGGCCTTGGGGGTGATTTTTGGAGGCACAGGGTGGGGAATAGAGTAAGCATTTTTCTTAGTTTGAGCTTTATGTTTGGTGCCTAGTGTGTGAGGTAACCGTATGCACCCGAGCCCTCTGCGTGTTTCCCCATTAGCTTTGTCATGTGGTGACTGTATTTGTCATGTGATTTGACTGTGTCTGTGTCATGTGGTTTGCTCATGCAGTGTTGAACCTTCTCCTGTCTGGGATAATGTGGGGCATAAAAATTGTCACGGTAAAATTAAATGTCTAAATGTTTCCATTACACCAAATTATAAAAATAATGGGGGAAAATGGAAGTTCGTGATTGTTTTGCAAAATAGACTGAGTAATGTGGACTATTTCATAAACTGCAGAAATAGTTTGTTACTGTCTGTGGGGCTTCCAGTCTCATAATGGATCATAAGATCTAGCTAGGAAGATGAAAGCTGATTATAATAGCGTAGATGGCTGGTTTTACTTAAAAGCTGCTGAATGCTCCATTGCCAGGATTCTGTTACCTCAAGGCAGTAGAATGGTCAAGTATAGAATTCTATCTATAAAGCATACATATAAGCAACTTTTATTGTCTTTTCATAGCTTTAGGAAACTGGCATCTTAAATGTTAGCCCACTGCCTCAATTTTAACAGTGCTTATGATTTATATACACATATATAAATGCCCATGTAAGAATTCTCTTCATTCTGCATTCGCTGTGCAAACCACAGAATAAGTTGTTATCATTCTGCTCTTCCAAGATTTCCAGCTTCACTGTGTTTCTAATCCTCTCTATTACCTCTGTTGTGTGACAGTGCCATCACTCTGAAGAGGGAATCATAGCAAGGCAGTTTGTGACTTCTGATCAGGTGGTGTGAAAAAGCATTTGTACACAGTTCTAATTAAGGCTGCATAGGCAGTCTTCTGGTAGGCAGCAGTCTGTGTGTCTGGATAGAGCCTTTTTTAGCTTTTGCTGAACTTGACTGTTACATGAAACTCTTGATTCTCTGAAGTGCAGAGACCTTCGCACTCATGGAGGACAACTAATAGAAAAATAAATAGAAAGAAGCAGGCAATAGATCATCAGCTTGAGAAAGATCAGATCAGTGTTTTACTGGTGGCTTTTACAGCTGTTTGCTAAAAACTGAGGACTGTGAAGATTGTAGAGATTTAGGACCCAGATTCTGGAGCAGAGAATTTACCTGCAGGTTGAGAACCATCTGCCTTTTGCTTATATTCTGCCTTGTACCCTCCTGTTCCTATCTTCCCTTACCCACTGTCTCAATCCACTCAGCTCTGACCAACGTCCGTGACCATTTGTTCTTGCTCCTGTATCCTTCTGCTGGAATTCCAGCTTTTCTTCTTTTCTCTCCTCTTATCAATCACTAACTGACTCATTCTTCCTGTTTCTATAGCATCTTCTTTCGTGAATCCCATCACTTTTTTTCTCTGTCCTCTGGCTCCTTCAGATAGAAATGTATATTCAAGGCAATCCACTGCTAGTTTTTGTTGCTTGGTTTAAAGAAAGCTCATGGGGAACACAAATACCCTCGCTGTTCCCAGTGCTCTTCAGGCCCTGGTGGCTGTCACCATCAATGGCTGCAGGGGAGGTTGTGTTCATCACAACCTGATGCCAGGTCCTGCCTTTCTTCCTCCTTCCTCGCCACTTGCAAATTGCAGACTTTTCTTCGAAGTGCTGAAATTACTTTAGTTTCTTAATGCTTTATGAATTTATTTTAGTAATCATGTGGGACATAATAGCAGAGTCACTTTTTTCTAGATTTCATCCTAAAATGGATACTTGCCTTTGGCAACAAACTAGAGGATTTGCTTGGCAAAGCAACAGGCAAGAAAACATCTAACCACCAGAGTGTGTTATTACCTGCAGGACAGTCTGCAGTAAACTTGCCGCCTCTTCAGCTAGCAGAGTTTCAAAGCAATGTATACTAATTCTTGTAGAATCTGTCTGATGATGATGATGGTTTAGAGAATAACCTGAAGTCACCTGAAATTAAAGGTGTGCTCTGTTTTAACACCTTCAGTAGGTTTTGTATCAGGGTTCTAAAAGATGACTAGAGATGATAAAATAGCCATGCCAAAGCAGGTAGCACCTTGCAGGAAAGTATGGTGTGTCAGCCAGATACGGTGGTTATTAATATGCTGGTTTATTAATAACACAATTTCCTTGATAATGTTTAATAAAACATGAGGCATAGATGTTTAAGGTAAGTATAACATGTAAAAGTTGACCCATTTTAAGTACTTTTATCTGCACAGGCTGTTACGGTTTTAAAACGGCTCACCAAAATCCTCGTAACTCTCTGTACTTGAAACTGGAATTCATTAATTGGACTCCATTCTGGTAACAAGTGATTGCTGTTTAGTAATCAGAAGTATTCTACTAGATTTGCTTTTATATTGATGTAAGAAATGAGATTATAATCTTGTTGATTATCAGTGAAAGTTTATCTTGAATGTAGCCTTTTTTAGTTTCTTTACTAGGAAAAATAACCATTCCTCTGCATTCATAGGAACTGCCACTCCCAGCATACAGTGGAACAGTTTTAAAATTATTCCAGAGGAATGGACGTGCCTCTACCCATAGCCATCTATCATTTACTCTGCTCTTAGGGGCTCTCTAGCAGATAGCTTATTCTTTTGGGTCAGATCTAAAAAGTGTTTTTATCAGGACCTATTTATTATTTAAAATAAATCTAGCAACTCTTCTATTAACTGAACCTAATTGTTTTGTCTGTTAACCTCTTCTGTGTAAATTTTGATTGAATTATTCCATATTTATAGTAAAAAAAAAAAACCAATATTCTTTTTATGTATTGAAAGAACAAACTGTTTTTTGTTGAATGGATAAGTACTATGAAATAGATTCTTCCGCCCCAAACACTTAACAACCAGGAAACATAGGAAAATAATAAGAGGAGGGATGTACTTCCTTGCCTAAGTTCTGACTATATTACTCTTAGTTAATTGTTGTGGGAAGATAGCGTTCTATAGCTAGAAATGAATCAGCTTTAGAATTTTTGAAGACTTCTAAAATTTATTATAGAAAAATTACTTGCTATATTTTCAGTCTTTTGTTGTTGCAATCATTTGATAAAATCTGGAGTAAGCCATAGATTTGAGTCAGATACAGCTCATTATGCTGCTGTTGAAATCAAGCCTTAATTGGGAATATGATGTCTGTGGAATTGTATTCGTTTACCCTCCACCATGCTCACTACTTTTGATTTGAGTCAGATTTGTGACTTTAAAGGTAAGTCCAAATAAGATATGTTCTTCCAAGTTGTGGAAAAATAGTTTTTAATTATTGTTGTCAAATCTGTGCACTGTTTATATCTGTAAAGCTCACTATATTTCTTTTCAGTCCATGTCTTCTATTAATATTCCTGAATACTCCTTGTGTAAGAATTGCAGGAAGCAATTTTTAAGCTTGGTTTTCTTTTAGCTAATCTCATCTCCAAAGGCCCTGATAGGGGAATCCTGTAATGGATGCAATGAAGTTAGGTTGCTGCAGTACATTTTAAACTTAGGGCATGTACTTCCTGTAGTGTCTGGGACTGGCAGAAGGTTTTGTGATACTGACCTAACAGCTTAAAAACTTTCAGTTGTTGCAGCTGCCCTTGCTCTTTCCTTTGCTGATCTCTGGCTGCTCCTTTTTCTTCCTTATGTTAGCTATCTGACAGTTTTCCAAACTCAGTTTCAGAACATTTAAAATAGGAAGATTTCAATTGCTTGGTTGGGGGAGACTGGCATGGGAGGTAAGGACTGTTTTTGAAGGCTATTGCTGGATATGTAAGTGTTTAAACAAAAAGTGTGCAATATGCTGCAAAAGAACTGTTGCGTTGGTTTCATGCTGCCTTGAGTTCTGATGCAATTAGCTTTACATCAAAGACTGTTCAATAGGAAACTTTTCTACAGAGCAATTAGTGTTACTCAAGCCTACTGTCAGTTTTCCTCCACTGTCAATAAAGCACTTAAGAGTCAATTATGAATATCTTATTTAGGTGTTCTCTTGCCCTCTTCAGGAAATCGCACAAACCTATTTTGTGCTGCTCTTTTTGTTGTTTTGGGTTTTTTTTCCTGCTCCACCCTTTCCCACTTTGTTGTTAAGTAGCTTCTTGAGGATGTTGAAGAGATGCTTTGATGTTTGGAAAGCTTAATGGGGATACAGCTTTTATGTCAACTTTTTATTTAACTTTTGTTCCTTATCATATAATCCTTTGCTTTTGTCAAACAATTGTTTGTAAATTTAGCATTGACGTAACTGTAGGGAGTTTGGACTCTGATTAGCAAGTGGTGCTAGATGTTCTCAGCTCAACTTAAAATACCTACCACCTTTCAGGATGTCTTGTGAAAAAAGTTAGGCTTTTTATTGGTTTGGTTTGTTTTTATTATCTTTTTTTTGTAGTCATAAAGCATACAGCATTCATACTTTTTTTCCTTTAATTTAAGGAATTATTCACAAATACATTAGTGTGCTCAGTTGCCAGTTCATTCACTAGGTAATGAAGTAAGTCATAATGGAATTTACTGTCCAACACTAGATTTTTATCTATGGTAGAAGTCAACATAGCCCAGTGCAGAGACCAGCAGCTTTCATTTTTAGTGCTAAAGAAAAGTAAGTTGGGCTTGCTGAGGTTGTCTAGACACATCATCTCGGGTGCAGTCTATATTCCTTGAATTGTTTGACTACCCTTCAGTTCCTTCACTTGATGTGAATAAAGTGGTTGGTTCTTCTGTGTTCTTACCATAATCCTTTATCACAGGTCCTAGTGCCACCAATCTTATAATAGGCTCCATCGCTGGTGCCATCCTGGTAGCAGCTATTGTCCTTGGGGGGACAGGATGGGGCTTTAAGTAAGCAATGCCGCATGTCTTCTCTTCAGTGGCTATGGCATTTCTATTTCTTGCTTATATCACTACATTTTGAGTTCCTGCTACAAGATTTCTGAGGTAACCTAATAGCCCCAAATATAACAAACTACTTTAAAGAGAGAGAATTATACATGTGCTGAACAAGAGGAGGAAATTAATTTGAAACCAGCAGATGTCATCAGGGTGCAAAGAAGAACAATAAAAGAATGAATTTAACTCTCATGAGTTCCTCCTAACACTTAGGAAGCAAGGTCTGGTTTTCATCTCCAATTAGTAGTGCTGTTCTCAGAAGTTGCCCACAGTGGTTAAAACCCTGGAAGATACAGGTCTTGAGGAATGTTTATTTTGAAACCTTTCAAATTGATAAAGCTTCTATAATTAAAGACTTCATGTGTAAATGGTAAGGCATGGCAGTTGCTGAGTAGTTTTCAGCAACAAATGTATTGACAGTTTACTCAGAAGTACCAGAGCTAAATTTTGTTTATGGTTACTGATTTTTTCATTATTATTATCCAGTCACTTTTTAAAAAAATATCAGATTGAGAGAGAACGGTTTTAAATCTTGAACTGTCTCTTGAAAGATGAAAACATTTCTGACCCAATTCTAGATCAATGTGGTTTAGAACTGTGAAGAGCAGTGTACTAGTCATGCTGCTGGTGACCGTTAAAGCAAAGAGAGAGTCTTGTACAAAGGTATTTAATTCTTGCCTTTTTTTGTTGTCAAGTCTACCTACATGCATGGTCCATATTTTGTAAAAAGATCTGAATTTAGAATCGATGTTTATAACCTTACAAATAATGGCAGGGAAATCAAGCACAAGAACTGGTAATTTCTCCTGGTGTTTGAGTTGCTACTTCTTTTCAATAACTTGAATCAAGATTAAGCCATGATACAACAATAAGCCATAATTCCTCAATCAGGTTTTTAGAATAATCCAAGAAATATTTCTAAATATCTTTCAGCCCTGTCTGAAAACAGAAAACAGACTTTGCCCTTTCTTCTGGCCAAGGAAATTATTACTTCCTGTTGCCTGTCCTTATTGGTGTTCAGAAAGACCCAGCAGCCACCACCACACTCACTTTTCTGTAAACACCTGTTCTGAGGGATGTGACATTCCCTGCATTTCCCCTTGAGGCTGACAAAAGCTGCGTGCATCAGCTGTGGGAGTCAGGGCTCCTCACTTGCTTTAGTAAGAAAAGATTAACTATAAAATATATCAAAACATCCATCATTAAGCATTGAGTATGTGATCTTCATAAACCTTTTTAATGCCTGCTGATAGACTTACCTTGTGCTGCTGTATTTTGTTTCTTTCAGTACACTTATTTGTATAATAAATACCCCTAGGTCAGCCGCCAGTATTTATAAGTTGTTATAGGGCAGCTCTAAACAACATAGTTTAAATTCAGTCCTGTATCTTTTGCATTGTGTCACATATGGCTGAGACATCTCTCATATTTTACATATTAATAAAAAGTAAAATAATTTGGTATTTATGCATTATTTATTATGTTGTTTCATTAAATCTATGTTCAAAGGCAGAAGTTCAAATGAGATGTGGATTTTACAATGTGGATTTGCATGTAGCGTTAACACAAGAAGGAACTGGGATTCTTTTCATTGGATGGATTGAAAGATTTCTTCTGTGTAAAGGCCTAGGTGGGAATAATACTTTTTTACAGACTCTCTGTAACACTTGGACATATTCTATAGCATTAACTAATACAAGTACCTTTACATTTTTGCTAGTGTTTCCTACTAGATGCAGAATTATAGGACAGTGTTGTCTTTTAACCTAAATAAAGCATATAAACAATACATAGACTTCAGTTACTTCACTGCAATTAGCTTTTAAATAAATACAGCCAAATTTTCTGCAAGGCTTGCATTAACATTTCTGTTAAAATTTTTGATTTATCGACAACAACAATGCACACACATTTAAAGTGATACTATTAGAAACACTGATACTGCAAGTTCCCATGGGAGTTAACCAGACTAGATTGGGTTGGAAAAGATGTTATATTATACTTTTGAGCCAGTTTTACTGTCTGTATGTAATGTCTATTACATAGCAATTCATATACTTTCCAGACACAGAGTAGTCATCCCTGAATAATACTTTTATATTGCAGAAAACACAGTGCAGGTCATTAAAATACAAAAACATCACAGTTACCTATAGACAGTTTCTTTCCCTTAATGTTTTTCTAAGCTGTCTTGTGCCATAACAACCTTTGCTTTTTTGCATCAGTGCTACAGCGCCTGCTAGTGCTGTGTGAGCAGCCTGGCTACTGACTGGGGACGCTTATGCTAGAGAACTTGCACAAACACAGATCTTTAGAACAATCCCACCCTGTCTGAAACAATGCAGTATTTGATTGATTGATTCTTTCTTCTTCGTGTTCTGCATCTCTCAAACTGCTCTCACAAGTGTTCAGCTTTGCATCCTGGTGTCATTTGTTTGCCCAAATGTAGAAGCTCGTTATCCCTATAGAGAGTCTGTATTGGATGTGTCTTTTGAAGCTCGTATTCTCAAAAAAGCAAGATACAAATGTTCACTCTGTAGCAGAACCTCAAATACACTGGCCTGGCCTAGCTCACAGCTTGAAGTGCATGCTTCTTTTGGGGTCAGGGGGGAACTGAGGCGGCTTTTCAGCTTGTATAAAAAGAGGGCTAGCACCTGTAGACCCTCTGATACTTTGCTTCAGATCTATGTGGAGGGACAGATAAGGATAATAAAGAAGATTTTAACTTTTCCTTTATAAGCAAGTGATATGTTTAGTTTCTGCAAATACAAGAGAAGATAGCTAATGCTTTACAAACTGGGAGATGTGATTTCTGTTTCACAGGTTATCAGATGTTCTTATGAACATACGGTACTGTGGTGTCAAGTCCATATCAAACGTAAGCTGCAACTAAGCAAATTTTGTTCATGAACTGAGGGGGTGGGGGTTGGAGGGGAAGTGTAAAAGAAGGCTTGATGCAAGTTTGGAGAAACAGTAAAAACCAAACAACTTATAGTTTCAAGAATGAATCCTAGGTTCATTTTTTCTAATCAAGTTAATGTGTGGATAGAATAAGAAAGGAGAAAGTTAACTGACAATTTTAGGGGGCATAGAGCCTCCTTAAACATTTCAGGTGGCTTAGAGTTAAAGGCTATGGGTGGAAACTTTGTTAAGAAATAGATGTTACTTCAGCTGAACCTTGCATAGTACTTTTAAAGTTGTTAGTGTTTAAACTGCAGTAAGGGAGTCCTATGTATTTCTACCTGAACTCTGCTGGGTCATGTGCAGAAGTACAGTGTTTGTGAAAAGTGAAGTTCATTTTGATGTAGCAAGTCTGTGCAAGATTTCAATATGCAGTGTTTAATACAGGACCATTATAGGAAGGACACTTTTACCATTAGAGCAGCAGTTCTGTGCATTGGCTACAATCACAGTCTCAGGGCCTATGCTCACTTTTTTCCTAGCATATATTCACTTTTGCAAAAGTACTGCAGTAGCGTAAGCCAATTAAATGCTGTTGTTGCTGACTTTAACAGTATTAAAGCAATTTTTGGTAATAAATCAACACTGCTAGAAGGCAATGCTAGTAAATGTGATGTGGAAATGCGTATGAAAGCTGCTTCTCATTATATCAGAATGTAAAAGTGGCTGACAGAGAAGAGCTGACTGTAGGCACAATTCTATTTCCAGCAGTTGTTTCTTAGCTGAAGAGCTGCAGGGTTTTCTGTCCCTTTAATGGAAGATTAATGGATGGACCAAAGACTTACCCAGTCCTTACAGATGCCAAGTTTTTAACTGGTCTGTGCAGATGCAATCAGACCCCAAAAGTTTCTGCAAGGTAAGGCAGTGGAATGCTAATGGTGACTTCATGAGGAAGGAAGTTTCAGTCCCTTACCAGCATTTCTGTAAAGCATGTATCATGACTTAAATACAGTCAGCTCTACACAAACAGCTTTAGAAGCAAATGTGAGATATTTTTACTTTTTTTCCAGACTACTAGAATGGATGGCAGGTCAATGTCTTTCTTTAAGCTGCTAATTTTAGTCTCTGATTTTGTTAATTTGAATAAGTTCTGTAGCAAAAGGTCATTTATTTAATCCCTTCTTCAGCATTTGAGCCAGGCTTTAGGAATACCTGTGAAAACACTAGCTACTTGAAATGGTTAAAATACTGGTTCTGGATAAATCTTTAAATACTTAAGTAAAGCTTTGGATTTATGTGATCACAGATAAAGGCACAGATCTGCAAGTACTATACTGTGTACAGTATACACACCTAATCAGCTGCAAAAAAAGTACAGAGTATTGCAGCAAGGTATTTCTTATATACCTCTAGCCTTTTCTGAAACCAGTTTTCTGAAATTTTTTCATTTGTAAAGATGACCGTGTTACAGAGGCAGTATGTGCTATAGTATGGTGTGCTTTTTTGATTCAGAATCACCTATCGTTTTGTTTTTGTTAGAGACACTTTTTCTGGTTGGATTGCAGACTGAAAGGCTGACCCCTATTATTTAAAGAGGCATTAAAACAATAAATGCAATAAGAAGTCAATGTTCTAAGATATTCCACATAAATCAACAAAGAACTGGGAAAGAGCATTGTTCTCCTACGTGTCCTTCCATAGAGGACTCTTCTGCCCACGCATTCTTGTTTTACCAACTCATGTGATACTAATATAATACACTACAGCTGTAAAGAGGTGCAGATATCCAGGACCTGATACTCGCCTAATTTCTTTTCTTTTTATTGTAATTTTCTTGGGGAAGAGAGAGACTTCTTCTATTTGCCAGTTTAAGTAAGATGACTGTCTTAGAATTAAAATGTTTGATTATTTGGGATGAAGCTGTTAAAGCAGGTCAGGGAATCAGAATAGAAATCCAATTCCTGCAGCATAACAACCACCTGTCTACCTCTGTGAAGTGCCATGATCACAGCAGAGATGTGTCAGGCTTTTGCTAATGCCTTGCATGTGTGTACTGTGTTCCTTACTGACACCATACCTGATGCTCCATGTTTCAGAGACCGTTTCAGGCTCTTAAGTTAAATATTCTTTTAGTTCTCCACGTGTTCCTTTCTCGTGCAACACTGTTAGCAGAATATCTTAAGCGTAGAAAGGCAGCAGTTTGGTTAGCGTCTTACTCCTTGAAGTGTGTATTTCTGCTGGATAAAACTAGGAAATGTGTAAATACATGGTTTGGACAGATTGCAGAATGCATGGCGAGAGCACAGCAGAGTTTGCTGTTCCGCTGTAGCTTAGGTGCTGTCTGAGCTGTCATACAAGTGAATGGTCCTTACTGGAATACTGCACTGGTGGAGATCAGGTTAGAAAATATTTGATAGGACAAAAGGCAAACAAGTTTTGGTACAAGAGTTGTTGTACTGGGAAGCTAGCATAGCATCTGTCCTCTGTGCCTTGTTCCAAGACTTATAAAGTCCATTTCCTTAATTAAAATGAGCTCAGGTAACAGAGTGTAATGCAGTGTATGTTTTAATGGCTCATGCTCTTCAAGCGAACTGGAGTATGGTACTTTCCCTAGAGTAGGAGAACAAATGATTACATCTTCTGGTTTTTTCACCTGCGTTGATGATTTGTGTTAGGGGGACTGACTAATTAGTTGCCCAGCAGTAGTTTTTGAATTCAAGTATGCTAGACAGTATTTAAAGGGTAGGGGGGCAGGCAGGGAGGGAAGAGAAGCAGACATGTCCTTTCCCCATTGAAACAGGCAGGACAAACAGACGCAAAGCAGGTTTTTACTCACAGTTAACCAAGTTACATTCCTATCATGCAGTCTTGCAAGTTGGCCTGAAAAACTAATTTGTTCATCTCAGATTTAGCTGTAGTACAGAGGAGGATGGATTGAGATACTTAAGTAATGTAAGCCTAATTCAAAAGGAGTATAAGCACTCCTAGAGAGGAAATGATTGAAAGGGGAACATCAGGGAATCTTTCAGAAACCAGCAATTCTTAAGCATTCATCTTGCAAAAATGTAGGCACTGGTACCAAAGGAAAAACAAAGCAAAACAAAGGATACCCAAGTATTACCAGTCTCTGGAAGTCTTCACAAAAAGAATTTGCCTTTGCATACATCCATTAGTCTCCTAAACCACCAGACAAACCTTGTGTATAGTATATATATAAACACTGTAAGAGTGGTAGTAGTTAGCAGGGCTGCAGAAAACAGAAAATCCTAGGGTTGGTGTGTAGCTTTAGGGAATTCATGAATTCCTGTTCTGTATTTTTTGCATGTCAGTTTGGTGGCGGTAGTGGTGCATATGCCCAATGTTCAAACTAAATGCATGAGCCCCTTGCTTGATGCCCCACATAAAGCCAGATACTGGGGAGGTTGCACCTAACTTTTATTGTTGCTTCCTAACGTCTTGCTGTTTGACATAGTATATCAGTGTCGCAGGAGACTGGATGTCACTAACCAGCTTGCTATCTGCTGTTAACTTTAAATTCTAATCACACCATTTACAAAACTGTCCAGTCTCCTTCGAATGCAATGTCTTTGCTATGTTTTGCACCTTACTAGGATTCACAGCAGTTATGGTCAATAGCGTGGTAAGAGCTCACAAAGGCACTCACCGTTTCGCCACACATGAACTAAATTCTGGTATAGCAAGAAATGAGCACTTGCGCTGAGAACTCAAGTCTCCCCATGCTTGTGTCTTTTCGGTACTGGCACTTCTGACTCATTCCCTTCAAGTAAACGCCTGCTTTCTTGGCCTAGTGGACACACATGTTACTGTGGGCTGAAAGTGTCTACAAATTTAGAGCATCACTTGAAGCACTACTAAAATAATTGAATTCTGTATACCAGCATGAGCTTTAAACCGCATAAGAAAAACAGTACTTGATACTATGCTACAGAAAGCATGCAACCAAATTCCTGAAATTGTTACTCCTTGGAAAAGTTACTTGTTAACCTGTCCCAGTGTGAGCCTCTTACTTGACTATGACCTTGGCAATGGCTTTGTTCCCGTTATATCTAACTAACATCTTGCATTTTTCTCTTTTCGCCTCCTTTTGATGCAACCTGGAAGAAATGTCAAAAAACGAAGGTTCGATCCAAGTCAACAAGGCCCTATCTGAAGAAATGTGATTAAAAATCTTCGTTTTGCACTACTGCATTTTGGGTATGATGTCTTTGCTGTAGCTGCACAGGAACTAAACCAGTCAGGAACATGAGAAACTAACTATAAACACAGTGTTGGGATGTTAGGATTTGAGAAGATTTAGAAGACTGTCCTTTTTGGAGATAAGTTCAAAACAGTTCCTCCATTCCCCCTTCTCTTGTTAAAATTAACAAGTCTTACAAACAAACTTTCAAAATCAGGTGGTTTTTGTCCTTTCCTCAAACGAAGGAGGAGACACAGACAAAGTGCAATAAGAGAACTATTCCAAAATAACCACATAGCAGAAGATTTTTTTCCCAGCCTGCTGGCACTCCAACTTCACTTGAGTTCGCATGACTTCCTTTTTCTTACCAAACTCCAGTGGCATGAGGAGCTACTTGTGAAAGGGCAACCTGCATGGCTCACGTACAAACAACCAAGCTCGCAAGCTGACCCCAAGCAGAATCTGCAGCCCAATAAATACAAAGCACTGGGAAGCCAATACCAGCCTCTGATAGCTTTTCCAGCCACACAGGGCATTCTGCCACTGGACTTCAGAGTTCCCTGCTCTGTGAGCTCAGTGTCCACCTTGTTTTGATCTCCTGGGCAAGGAGTCTGTTGGGTATGGAAGCTATCAAGTGATGGATGCAATTCTTCCAAGAAGGAAAAAGTGTAAATATGGAAATAAGATTTTGATGTATCATTTTCACAGATTATATATAAATATATATATATGAGAGAAAAGGATTTCCATATGAAAAGGTTCTATTCTTTATGTAAATCTATTTTTGATGTTGGGTTTGGTTTTGGGTTTTTTTTGCCCGCCCCTCCCCCCCCCTTTTTTTAGTACAGCAGATGTTCTGGGCTTGCTCAAAAAAGGCAGACATAATAGCATGCAGATGCAGGGAGTTCTGACACCAAACAGATGTGATCTAAAGTTTGTATGCTTGAAACCAAAAACAATTAAAATGTATAAATGCATATCTATGTATTGACTATAAGTCTGGATTACTTTTTTTTTGGCTGTTATACAGATTTTCCATAATATATATGTAAGATAAGTGACACCTTCTCAAACTAATCACAGAAGTGCCAAGCTTTTTTTTGTTTGGTTTGTTTTGTTGTTTTTTTCTTCCCCCGCCCCTACCCCCCCCAAACCATACCAACTCTTTTTCCCTGTCTAGATCCTGTGAAATAAATAGTCAAATAAGCCTTAAAATACTCACAAAATTTAAAAGCTTGGAATGAGTTATTCTTTTCTTGCCTTCAGGCCAGCCACTCTAAACCAGCCTGCAAAGGTGACTGACATTTCTGACTCACTCCCTGTATCTCTTTGATGCACCTTTCAAAGTATAATGCAAAATTTGCTAAGTATATATTTTGCAAAGTATAGTGCAAAATTAGTACTTTCATCCTTGGCTACTGCTATCTTGTTACCATCGCAAAGCGTGCAAAATTCCACATAATTTCAGGGGTTGTGTGTTGGAATTACTTTTAGATCCATCTGTGTGCAAACAGAGGTTTTTGCAGAGAAGCACAGGCGAGCAGTACCATTCTCCCAGTAAGCAGGCCAGCAAGGCTGTATCTGGCTGGAGAGCGGTACAAAGATAGCTCATGTAGGCCTTCCTTAAAGTACAGGCTTGTACCTTTCATTTAGATTTAAAACTTAGGTAATTCAGTTCATGTAAGTGAAGTGTCCTGAAAATTGCATTGCTGCATCTGATAATTGGAATTTGAAACTTCTGTAATTTTGGATTTGAAATATTAGTGACAATGGAAGTCCATTTGTTCCATGGAAATCCATTTCCTGAGTTAGCTTTAAGAGCCAGAACATTAAGAATATGCTGCAGATATCTTGTGACTTACAAAAATCTTATTTCAGTTATATTTCTCGTTATGATAATGTTCAATCTAACAGTCTCACAAGAGAACCACTGTATATTGGTTTGTCTGACAGTTGATTTGTCTAAAAGTTTTTAAACAGCTTTAACAATCACATTAACACTTACTACGTTATGAGTTAAAGGTGCTGCACACAGGTAGTCAGCATTGATGTATTTTATAAATTTTATTCTGCCTGGCTTCAAGCAGGATGAAGGTAGTGACAATACCTTTCTGGCAAACCAAAAATACTTGCAATGGCCAATATGCTTGGTAACGTAATCCCCAGCTTCATTAGGGCTCTGCTTCCAAAGTGTAACCCACAACTAGTGGTCGCCAAAACTTAAAATAAGTAAAATCAAGCGGATATACATAAACTACCTGTGTAATAAACCTCTGAGAAGCATTTCACAAACACCATTGTTGGCGTGTGATGTGATGGTTTAAATCAGACCACAGTGGTCCCCAACTACACTGTACATATGTTCAGTTCTGGACTAAATTTTTTAGTTACACCAGCAGTTTCATAGGAATTACGTTTTTGTGACTGAATTTATGCCCCACTCATCAGCCATTGTGCTTATGGGCAAGAACACATTCACTTTCTGCCCTGTGTGTGCCAGGTGACAACACAGCTCAGAGCAGGTACAGCCTGAAGTGCTTTTTTCTGTGGTGGTAGACAGCTTAAAAATGGCTTTGGGAAATGTTGATTTTTCTACATCTGCCTTTGCTGTTCTTTGGGAAGTACACATCTCTTTAGTGGTACTTTGTTCACCAAAAGAAGACCTGGCCAGCACTGCCTCCATTTCTCCCAGCAGACATTTGCTCCATTATTTTTCTGTCCATCTGGACAAGACACTGTGGTAACTGTATAGCTCATTCTTGTTTGCTGCATGATCTCACTGATTTGATCTGATCCTCCTAAGAGAGAGGTCTACTAGGCCAATTACCAGCTCTGTAGGTGCATGTAAAAAGAAACAGATTACTTAAGGCTGGAGTTTAACCAATTTTTCTCTATGCAAAGATGGGTATTGCACAAACAAATTTAAGACAAATGTCTGAGAAAATGTCATAGAATACTTGAAGTCATGTTTTAAGCCTAATCAGTCGTGTTTTATATTCATTATTGCTTCCACTGTTACTCTTCCTTTTAAAACTTAATTGTAATTATTTTTTTAAGTGCACAACTTGATGTTATAAATCAGTTTTTGTTTGAAGTTAATACTCATTCATAACTTGTTGGCTGCTAATGAATGGAAATTCAATAGTCCTTGTTCTGCATCTTAGCAAGATGAGTATTAAAAATGTCATGAACATGGAATGGAGTAGTTTTTAATTTTCAATCATTTTTTCCATATTTATTCTCTCCATTTTATTTAATTTCTGTGTTCAAGATATCACCACCGTTACAGTAGTGGAAATTGATGGGAGTTTTCTTTCAGTGAAGATCTCTCAAACTCTGTGCCTTCTGGCAGCGAGGTTCTGCCTGAGAGGGCGTTGCATGCAAACTTCCTGACGTAGATGGAACCAGTGCCTCAGCACAGGGCTGAGCAGAGATGCAGCTGGAGGGTCACTGGGCCCGCTTCGATCCCATCTGCTGGCTTCACCGAGAGGAATGAGAGCTGTATGCACGAGTTGGCTGAGGGAAGCCTTTTGCAGTTCTAAAATCTGAATTATATAATTACAAAGAGTCTGAAATTATGTATTTTTTCCAAAAATATTTCGAAGGCCTCATAATAGCTAAATAATATAGTGATAACTTTAATGGATTACTGAATGAAACTCCATTTCCCTTTCTGGAGGTTTTTTTTGCCAGACTAACTCCAGTGAAGCCAACCTGGGAAAAGTAAATGCATGCATGACAGTTACCAGACGACTACTGATACTTTTGTTTCACACTCTGGAGTCGGAGAAAGCAAAATACACTTTTGTCTTAATCTCTCCCAAGGTCGTGTATGAAAGCATGTTTCTCGTTTAGACCTACAGAGTGAGGGAACACTTCCGCTATTACCCACTTCTATTTCCTGTCTCTTCAATAGATGAGGATTTATCTCCTATATGGAATAGGAACATGCAATACTTTGGCTATAATTATAGTAGACATTCACTGCTAAAACAAGAGTTAAGCCTTTTGCAGTATACGAGTACAGAAGCGACACAGAGATAAATGTGTATCTGCTTTTGACTTTACAAGGAAAATTCTTAAAATTGTTTTTGAAAACTTTCACAATTACAGCATGAAATACTGCAGAGTGATCTTGCTGGGGCACTTTCTATTAAGAAAAAAGCCAACACAACAGCAAGTCATGTTGTACAAACCTGAAAAACCCTCTTTTGTTCCAAATGCACTTACTACAGATTCCTGCCCACAAGAGCTGAAAAATTAATTTAACATGAATCATCCATCAGAAATACAATAGACACTATTTAAGTGCCCTCAGAACACTTGAAGAAAAAAACCTAAATAACTAACTAGAATTTTTAGTAGTAGTGATGTTCAAAGTGGTACTACTAAAAGGAAAAGGTCACAGAAACATTATCTTAAAGCTGCATGTACTATAATTCAGTTCAGAGACGTTTTGTTCAGAACTCAGCCAGCACAGCAGCACATCTTCACATTTCTGTAGGTTTGTGGAATACACGCTTCCACTAAATAACGTAACGCAAGAGAACACATGGCCTCTAGGTAAGTACAAGGACTCGACGTCAGACCAGCATAGACATCCACTTAACATGTATTATTTCTGAGCAACCACACAAACTGCTGAAGGTAGCATAATTCATAATACTCTGATTATAGAAACACAGTAATCTAATGTCAGGCTATTTGTTCTTGTTAAAATGGTCTTTTAAGAGAGCTTGGTTTTGCCATAAGTCACAGGAGACCGCTCATCTTTGCCGCTAATAGTGTAACAGACTGTGCTTTAGTCTGGCACTTTCTGAGCCAGTGTGAGAATTTCTCCACTAAAGCTGGTGACTCAAAGCACGAAGGAACATTTTTAACCTGCTCTTGCGTGCAGGACGCAGCTGTGCCCAGCATCCATCACACAACCCAGGGGGAAGCTGCTGCTCTCAGCATTGACCTAACCAATGCCT